ATATTGTTGGGAAAGCAGTAGTATGACCCCTTTCTCCTTCTAGTTTGACTGTCGATTAGTTCATCTTTATTACCAACAGATTCTTTGACCTATTTACCAATTTACTGATTGACCAATGAACAGCAACTAAGATTTTAATGTTTATTGGTTCTCGAGCTCCTTTTAACACAATAGTCAGTCAGAAGACGACAGTAAAAGACATATCAATTCTCTATTGTACCCAATGCAATCATGACTAAATCCCCATATAATAATAGAGAGTAAAATCCTGACCACATATCAGCATAATTAGGAAATTACAATAATGACATAGCTGAATAGTAGGCCTGTAATACATTAACAATATGACATGTAACAACAGTTTAAGGAGAACGAAAAAGGTTACAAGCAGGAGAATATAGATCAATAACTTAAGTATTTAATGGTTCTACAACGAGAATATAAGCAAAATAACTTCAGATAAGAGACAGTCCGAACTTTTCTAACAATCGTCCCGTTATACTACTTAAGTATTACTATCATTTATGGTACGATTATTTCAAATCTTTTACTAACATCAGAATATTGTAGTATTGTAGTATTTTAACAGTTTAATTCATGAGTCGATCTAAGTTAGACCACCGTGGAAAACCTGAAAGCACGGGACGACCGTTTCGTCCTAGTATGGAACTCCCCATTAATGTGCATTCACGATCCAGCATGCATGATTCGAACCCGGGACCTTCGGTCTCACGCGTGAACACAACCTCGAAATCACTGAACCAGCATCGAACGGTGTTGATTTCTAAATTCAACCGTTGTGTTTTGTTAATATTGACTAATGCACAGTTGTTTCAGGCTTTATGTTGATTCTAATTAACTAACAACTAGATATTTCATATATTATGAAATGTTAATTGTAACTCACAAACTACAAAACGGATTCTTCTTACTGTATTGTAATGTTGTTCAGATTGTAACGCTTACTCTACACTTTTGTAGCTTAATTTAAGTAACTTGTTTCTGGTGATAATTAATCTATTGACAAATAAAAACGTATTTCGAAAGAATTTATAACTATTTATGTTGTATGGGATTGTTTTGTTTTTGCTAGATGGCTAATCAAGTATTACGTCATATTGAGTCTGGATATAGAATGAAATCTCCGGAAGATTGTCCATCTACAGTATATGCTTTAATGTTACGTACATGGCAAAGTGAACCAAGTAACAGACCAAGTTTTGTGGAAATTTTGAAGGAACTCTTGAAATTGCATAATACAACATCTAATATGTGTAATTCTACACTTATTCCCCCTATTCTTCCATCGAAACTCACTCATCCAGTGTCCATTAGTGATTCTACTGTGAACAATTCAGTCTTAGATATGAATAAAACATTTAGTGACTCTGATAGTACAACCCCTTGGGGTACCACTGGAAATAAGACAACTGTGACAAATAGTTACAACTCAATGACGTATAAAGGATCTGATAATCGTGAAAATCTACCATTGATGAAAAAACAATCGATTAATTCAACATCTAATCGGCGTAAGTATAATCAACGACCTAAAACGTTAGCTGACTTGGTAAGTTGTACTACAGGTTTATGACTGCCAGATTTTGTATGGAGTTTTTCTTTAAATATTCAGTTGTTTTAATTCATCGACTGTATACTGTTTAGGTATGAACATAAACTATTTCCTAAATATCATTCATCATGTGTAACCTACGAGCTGATCTAAGTATTATGGCGAGGTTTCTGATTACGTAAGAGGGTAATCTATCATAGCAACTTTTGATTCCTGTCAAGCAACTGCACGACCGTAGCTGCAACATTGACATGGTGGTCTGGTGATGACTCAACTGAGCTATTTTGACTGAAACACATGTTCGTTTATGTCCTAGTATGCTAGACAGGTTGACTCGAGAACATCAAAACTAAAAACAGTAACTTAAGGTCCAGGGGCGAAGTTGTACACCCGACTGCAATATGGATATGACACTAGTAAGATGTTTCATTATCTGGAGCGATGTTTCCTTTCAACAAACAAAGCGACGGGTTAGGAAAAGTCTACCTTAAAAACGTGATACCACACCCTATCCCACTGATTTCCCTCTCCTGAGGTAACACCTAGATTTTCTCATAAAAAAGCCTACTATAAGCAGTTGTCCTGCGGTCACATCCTCGGGTCACTAAAACTACCACTAACCCAGCTTCCTCAAGAAAAAAATTCCTTGCGCGATGTATGTACCTGGAGAGTGACAATCCTCTTCATACCATGTAACAGTATCCAAGATCAAATTTCTGTCAATCAATTGATGATACTTACGAGTATGTACTCTAGTTGATTTTCATGAACTTTATACTAGAATAAGGAAATCGATTCCATCTTAACTTAATGAACAAAGATAATCTACCTTACTACCTCTCCCACTATGGGATTTGAATCGACAATTATATGTGTGTGCTAATTTACTATGGCAATCCGAACTGATGTACGTACGTACAAAGTTCTACGTTGCTACTGACTAACTAACTTTACTTTATTAAGATTAGAGTACCTTCATCAGATGATTATTTCAAAAGATTTGATCACCTTTTCTGTTTTCGCGCCAAGAGCCGCTTAGTTGACCTACAGCTTACATTTCCCACTCGGAAATCTTTAATTGTCATTAGTTAACGGAGTTTTTTAGTACGCTATTTTGTAGCTCTCCCCAAGGGCGTTCCTATCATTGTATAAATAAGCTTGATTTGTGTGCTTAGTGACCTCGTATTTTCTGGGTGTTTTTAGACTTCTTGATCTAGTTAGCAAGACCAAGTCTACACCTACCAACATGACTCACTCAGTCCACTTGTCAGTGACTTAATGGACTTGTGCCATGTTTTGGTCTGGCCACCCTTAGCTTTCTTCCAACCTACTCCTATACCACTGAACATCGCACATCGAGGCAGTCGGTGGTTGGGCATACGTAACACGTGTCCTAGCCGCCATCTCAACTGATGAAGTTTCACCACTTCATCAATTGATTTGCCATCTTTACCTAGTACCTGTTTCTTAACAACTGCGTTACTTACTCAACTTTCAACATTAACTATATAATTTATGTTTTCAAATTTCTTTTGTTTTTTCCTATTATATTTTCTAGATATCTGAACCATTAGATAATAAAACTAATGAACATACATATCATCATAATCAATTACTTCATAGAACAACTAATTCAACAATGAGTCGTTCATTTACGTCAACTATAACAACTAAATTATCATCAGATGAATCTAAAATGAATTATAATTTACCATTGGATAATTTAAAATTATAAATTATCTTCTTTATTTCTTTTTATTTCGTTGTATCCATGTTGTGTATTTGTTCAGTTTGAGCGCCTTGTTTGTACATTTGCTTATTGGTTTCAATTATATAATTTCTTATTTATTTAGAGAAAATCTCTTTTGTCTGTGTTTTGATGTTTTAGTTACGTAATTAGTTATTGTCTTTATTATCCCTATCAATCCTATTGCTTATTAGTCTATTAATACTTAGATCAGATCACTGTATTATATATCGACACTGTCAACAGAGGGGTTATCTTGGTTTTGTTGTTAAACTGTTAACAGTCATTTTTTCTTCTTCAAATCTTGATGTTTGCTTTCCTGTCTTTTCTTTATTGTTTTCTAATAGCATGCTATAGGCGTTTGAAATTCTGCTAATCAACACACGGTGTATATATATACTTATATGCATAGTGATGTCAATGGTATATCCTCTTGAGGGATGTTTTTATGATTTGGTTACTATGAGACAAATGAGAAGAAATTTGTTGAGTGACAATGTGGAGTTTAACTTAAAAAGAGTATTGGATTTGAAAAACCACTTCGTGTATGGTTGGCAATTATTCCGGTTTAATACGTTTACAAATTAACCTATTATATATTTCTGATTCTTTAAAGTTAAAGACTTATATTTATTCCTGAAAATTGTTCAGTGAATCAGACTCAAACACTTATTGCAAGGAAAATCGTGTGTGTGTGAGGGCCCGATTATAACTGCCATGTCGAAATGATTCAATCGAGACACATTGGTTGAATTACTCGTTTTTTCCGGTCCTACCATGCTGGGTCAATTTATTAGAGTGGTAAGAGCAACAAGGTCGCAGTCGGAAGACAAAAATAAAAAAGCGGACTACAATGGAGATGTGACAGTAGTGGTGCTTCACTTAAACGACCAGGATCTCTGCCATACAACGGAAGGCAGAAGTCGACCCTAAAATGTAACGCGTCTCACCTTACTCCACGGGTGTTCGTCGCCGACGGTAAGGTCTCAAACATACGTCTCTTTTGAGTTAACTAATCCAACATGCTTGCGCGTAACCGGTTTCAAGTAACGTCCCCTTGGTGACTGGTCATACCTTTCAGGTCGTCACGATCACTCAAAACCCAGTATTTCAATAAAAATTATCTTTTACGGTATGGGAAACCATCACGTGACAACATCCCCCATACCTAATAGCAATCGGGAGGACCTCATTCGCAACCAAGGAAAACATTTAAGTCATCTAAAGAGCATTTTTCACTAATTATCAAGAATGCAATGCATGAGTAAAAAACGATTAATTGTACCAAGCCATATTTAATAATGTATAGAATCACTAGATTGCCAAGTACACTTCATCCAAAAAGTGAGAATGAACCAAGATATCCTGGTTTTAATTCCGAGAGCTACTGTTGAAAGGTCAGAGTCAAAAGTCACCCACTTCCATAGAACTGATTTAACCATCTTCTTTTTCATAGGATTTCTCAAAAGTTTGTGTAATATAATAATGAGAAGTTCGTTAGGATTAGTAACTATAACCCTACAATGATGTTGACTAAAGAAGCTCACGAGTATCGTGTTGAATATTATCAAAAAGTGATCTAATTTTTCGTGATGAGATGAGCGATATGGATCTTACAAACGATATGCATCAATGTGAAATTTAGTACGACCTTTCTTATTCACAGTAACATAACGTCTTTATTACCTCGTGATGGTTTTTGCTTCGAGGATAATGCGTACAATGTTTTTCCTACATTTTTCCAGTTAAATCGGAGTAGAACGGATTGATTATAGTTTGAAGATCCTAGAGATTTTACAAACAATAAAATGTCAATGGAAAGTTTAGTTTCATTTATTTTTTTGTCGAGTGTTTAGTACAAGTCACCAAGGTAACAGCATGGAATTTTCTTATTTCAGAAAAGACGTTGATCCAAATCATTGTATTCACTATCGAATGTGTGCAGTCGAACATAGCCTTCTTCTCCACCAGTTGCGAATCTGTCAAATTTAAACAAAATAAAAAGATAAATGAAACGAATAAACATCGTGACAACTAACGCAGAACATGAGAAGCATATGAAAGACAAAAGCTATACTATGTGTTAATACACCAAGTTATGGTTAAGCTAATAGGTTTGGATAAAGACAGTGGTAAGGGGTGTTGGTGTGTTCAAGAACCTGGATTCCGTATGATACATTAGAATTAACTACTACTGCGACAAATAACAAATCAAACTAAAGATATTATATTAATCCAGTCTGTTACTATGTTGTATTAGATTTTGTAGGCGTTCAAAAAATCCATTTTAATAAAACCAGTTATTCTTTAGAGGATATTTAAAAATATACATATTATAAACGTACCCACTGCCATCTGGTGTGAATGCTACACTATTAACAGGACCGAAATGTCCTTTAACACGACCAAATTCTTCTTCATAAATTAAATGATAGAATCTGACATCGAATTTTCCTTGGCCAACAGCTGTTGTTGTTACTTCATGAGCTTCTTGACCACCTCCTAATAAAACCTAATTTTAATGAGAAAAATAAAATTATAGAATACTATATACAAGATTTTAACACAACAGATAAAAAGGGCTACGTGACATCTATCAGGCTTTAATACTGATATACATCTCTCTGAAATTCACTGTACACTGGTGCAATAGATGGTGGAGAAGACTCTTATCTTAGGTGGATGATTTTGATGGGGTTTTGTTCTCTGAGCTGGATAGCTTGGTCGTGGAGCTTTTATCGTTCTTCTGAACGAAATCATCAGCACAAACTTCAGGTAGGAGTGAAGTGTTCGGATTTCTCCACATGTAGTTCAAAGCTTGTCCTGTACACCTCGATGTTGACTGTTTCTTGTTGACCTTAACAATGACATGTTTAGTTTGGCCAGTAACGTCAGCATTTAAGTAACAGTGATTTTTAGATTGTCGTGGTAGATTAATTCTAGTCAGGAATAAATCATCGGCGAAGTTCTCATAAAAAAACTTCAGTCGATTGCTACCTGCGCAAATAAATGCTAACTGCAGCTTAGCTAGGAACAGTGTTTTCGTTTTATTGAAACAGAATTCTATTCTATTAGACATAGTATGTACTTCAAACAGTCGTAGAGTGAAGAACGTCTACACGATTGAAAGTCTGTAATATTTAGCTTGGCGTGCCGTCAGAAATAGTGGAGAAGCTTGTGTGTTAATGTTGCTTTGATAGAGAAGATGAACCAATGCAAATTAGTATATTGATGATCTTGACAACTCGAGTCATCCTAGTGTCAATCTGAGCACAAACTATTCCGTTGTTCTATATCTATTATTTTAAACACTCCAGAGTTGATGGTCATGCTTAATGTGATAACACCAGGTTATTACTTCTGCATTCCGACAATATGCGTTTGAATATAATAGAGACCGTTATTCGAATGATGTTCATTTTGAAACACTAGCTTTGATGAATTAGATTTGATAGCTGCATGATAATGCTAACAGCAACAGAAAAATAGTTATGACTCAAAGAAATAAGGAATGTTTCCATCAGGTGAATATACATCGGTTTATTAGAACTTTGTGGATAGGATTGTAGAAATTTCACTACTTCAATATTCGAAGAAATTGTCGATTATAACCTATAAACCAGACACGACCTTGTGCAGTTTTCGAATGGAATTAACAGTTAATGATTGATGAAACTGAGGTAATAGTGTGAAAAAGTTTCGAGACACAACTTAAATCATATATATAATAGTTTCTGAATATTAAAATAACTCACGTGATCTCTATTAGGTGAAATAGCAGCAGAATTTATCGGACGTTCGGTAGTATATGTTCGGATGCATTCCAAATCATAAGCACTGAAAAGCTGAATACAAACACAAAATGAATACGACTATAGACTTTTAAAGGAAAATATGTGCTTGTATAGGTCAGAGTTCTTTTGTAAAACTCAGCTTTACTTCACCTGAACCTCCATCAATAGGAGCAAAAGGAGAAACAAAGATAAGAGATGGTAGAGAAAACTTGTAGCTCAGGTGGGCGATTTTGGTGGAGTTTTGTTCTCTGAGCTGGATGGTTTGGTCGTCGAGATAAGGAAAATGCATAGGTCCTTCTGTCTTACTGTACGGAAAGCACATAAACGACAGTAGAAAGGAATCCGGTTAAGAAGCGCCTATCTGTCTTTTAGAGTTAATGTCACACCTATACAAAGATGACCACGAGAAGTTGCTATCACAATTTTAGATACACGAAGGATATATAACATTGGTTGTTTATTATGGCTGGGTGACGTCAAGGATATATCCACGCTAGAATCCTGTATGAACATATCAATGGGATGAAATTCTAGGGTCTTAGTTGGAAACACCTATTGCCAGATTTAACATAGGGTTTGGACATTTAGAACTCCGACACGTAGTTTGAATTGTGGCTTTAAGAAACCTTTAAGAAACTTATTGAGCTCAAATCGTTAACACTTATAGTAGATATACAAGAAGTAAAAAAGATAAATATTGTTAGAATAAATGAGAGAAATATTAGGCAATAAAGATGGAGCTTAGCTGTATACAAAGTGATTTCGAGTGCTGTTAGACCTTTGAGGGTGGTCACCGACACAGTGGAAGGATACTTCATCTTGAGGTAACTAGGAAAGAAACTAGATTGAAGATGGTTTTAATGACTACTGCTTAAGAGACAATTACTTGAGGCCAGTTACTTGCGGTCTTTTAGTCTAGTAGTTTGTCATACATTAGTTTTGTACTTCTCAGAAATGACCAATTCGTGGAGTGAGGTGTGTTGTTAGGGTAGACCTCTACTAGCCCCTACTCTTCTTTGTGGGAAGGCAGCACCGCTGCAGATGTTGGTTATCTGAGTGAAACACTTCACCGCTATCACATTTTTAGCCCAGCCGACAGTACGACTTCACTCTTGGACCATGTGTTAGTTGCATTTAATTTAACCGCTCTACAACCAACCTTCCTGGCATGGTAGGATCTAAAAGAACGAATGCCCCAGCTAATATAGGTTGGTTAAGTCATTACGATATGCGAGCCTGACCACTATGTCGAGGTAACAGCTAAGATGGGGGATTCACTGAGAATAAACACTATCGACGCTCGGTAATGATGTATTAGAAAATTTACTTACTTTGGCATTATGATCTTTCGATCCAGTTATGAACATTGGCAGAGTTAGGTGCATCTGCATATCTGTAACAGGTCCTTTATGAGGGTTGATACGCTTTGAACATTCCCCGGAACTAACATCAATCATTGTTATAGCTCCGGACTCATGTCCGCAAATAATGTTTCGGTTGACTGGGCCCCATATTGCTCCAGTCACTTTAGAATCATCTGGTGATGTTATCTTAAATATACAGGATTTTTGTGACATCTATTAACAAAAAACGAAAATAATGGATCACAGTAAAAAATTGATGGTAGCCATTCCAGTCATTTTTAAGTAAGGATCTTTGTTGAGTCTATTTCACTATCATTAATAACATCACTATTTCGACCCCTCTGTTATTCAATTTATTAATTTTTATTTCGCTGTGACATTTGTAATGCATATATACACTAGACTTTATGTTGACTATTAACTGAATGACTTTCCACTGTATATGTTTTGGTTTCATTCACTTAAAAGCTGCTTTTATTCTATAAAATAACTGATAAGAATGGAAAAATAAAGTTTTAGTACGCGTGAAGAGAATGAAAACACTAAATGAGAGGATTCTAGAAAAAATTTTTTATCAACTAAAGATACAAATCTCTTGATATTTTGTTGTGGAGAGCTTTATTATCACTGTATGTATATGACCTCTCGCGGTGCGAACGAATATTATTGGAAAGTTGCTGAAATTTCTAAGCTCAGAATTATTTACAACAAGCATATAGTGTTGGATAAAGCGACAATAATTGTCCTGCCTCACTTCGTCTATTGCTGGCCAATAACTGGAGTCAGTTAGTCATTCATATGCAACGTAAAAACTAACATATATGTGCATCAGTTCAAGTTGCTGCACCACAACAGGATACATGGAAAATTGTCGAAAAAATGCCAGAGTCGTAGAATTGGTAACAGTATTTATGAGATATAGAAATTTCTAGATTTAGGTTCTCTGGGGAGACAAATAGTGGATGTAACTGAACCATTCCAAATGATTCTAAATCACGTCACCCAAAGCCAGCAACGACTGATCGCTGTTATCACGAGAACCCAAACCAAGTAGTCTATATCGACTAACATAACTCAGACCAACAATCAGTGGCTTTATGGTATGACAGCATGTCTGGGCTTGATCCTACACCACACATCGCTCGTTGAGGTAGGCGGTCGTTAGACATACGTGATACATGTCTCGACCGTTTTAGTTGATGACGATTTATTGCCTTATTAGCTGATGTTATATATACATGGTACCCTAAGCTTAACCTTGTGTAGGTGTTAGCTATTGGACAGCAAACCAAAAATAACCAAGCGAAACAAGTTTTGGGTGCGTTTGTGACAAACTGAATAAAAACAGATAGATTTAACAAGAACAGCAAAATAATAGGAAAAATAGTGGGAATCAGCATAGAGAATATGGCTTTAAATGAAATGAAATAAACAGTAAGAAGTACTACTAAAACTCAAGATCTAGGGAAAAATAACTAACGAACACATTTACGTCACTGTAACTAACTGTAAATTGAGAAGTAAGGTCTTTAAAATTTGATTAGCGTTTTAATAAAAGCCTCAGTCAAGTAATCGATGCTTAACTAGATACCTTAAACTAACATTCACTCAAGATTATTCATTGGAATAGTCACCACGTATAGTTTTGTTTTAAGCTCTAACTCAACTAAAAAAGTTTGGACTGGATTCAATAAGGTGACGGAATTAACCAGCTTAGTCAAATATCACTTTTATATAGACGATGGTGAGCAATGTGAGAATATATCTTGAAGTTAATACAGCTTTTCCAATATCTCGCTTTCTCATTCTGCTATCCTGGATTGACAGCTGAATTAGTGAATCATGTTCATGAGTCTTACTAACTCCTGGTTTTTAACTAATCTTCTTAAGACGTTTAAACAATCGTCCACAATTAAATCTCCCATCACATGTTTTTGAAGCCTGTTGATATTCAGAATCGCTGTGTAAACATTTTTTACTCTTGTTTAAAGCACCACTCATTAAACTGCGAACTCAAGATGTGTAGGTGTTTTATACCATAAAATAACATGGAATAAGCCACTGAAATTCACCGGCTTATTCTGACCTGTTTTGCGTTTTCAACAAGATTCACTGATACTTTTATCGAAGATGGGGGTATCAGCTCGACTATCTAGGGATTAGTTGCCGTATGTTTGGTGAGCTACCTGATAGTGTGTTACATACTCATAATAAATGCAGGTTCTTGGGACTTTGAGCCATATCTTCGCTTTCTTAAAATAAGGTAAACGATGACATCTCATTATCAATTGGAAAGTGCATTGATGATTCTCCCTCGAGCACCTGATTACAGGAGGTAAAAACATATGTAAGCAAAACGACACCAAAAATTTAGAGTCTGCTTCATTTGTGTAATGTTGGATACTCGAACAGTATAACTGGTCTAAATAAATAGAGCGTACGACTCAGTAACTAGTGAGTTATAGTGTTTTATGATATTCGCACACGAACCAAGGCAATGGTAGTTCGAAGATAAACTCTTTTTATCATCATTTCCAAGGATGATAACACGACTTATTAGAGCCCGATGCTGAACTCTAAGTTAGAGAAAATAAAAAGCAATAAAAAGTGAAGCGCAGTGCATTCACAGTGCTGGTTATGCCAACCCAAAAACGTGACCAATAAAGATTGACAGATATGTTTAATTCCGCATTACCAACTTCATAATTTACAAGCATATGTTAGGAAAGTTATTTAAATTATAAGTTTTCAACTCCCATTTATGACTATCAGAAAATCCACGACAAAAGCACTAGATATTCATAGCACTCGGTGATAAAACTATATTTTAAAACTTATAATCTGCTAATTTCTGACATAAGACTGTAAAACGTGTTCATGATGAAGGGATTTCAAGTGAAATTTACACTTACGTGACTAGAGTCCCGCTTATCCAAAGCTATGATTTCACAACTTTTCTTCCCAGTATCATCCGTAGTTAGAAATATCAAATTCCCACAATAGGAGATCCCACATGTGCGGACTGGGTTGACTGTGGTGTAAGTGTCTGTGCATTTTCCTATATACCTGAAATGTCACTTCACAAACATCTATTACCTGTTTCTACATCCCATATTTTGCACGACCAGTCAGCAGAGGCAGTTAACAACATGGTAGTTGTCCAGTCTACATCAAGCCACCATACAGCACCATCATGCTGATCGTAGGTTCCCAATCTTTCTCCGTTTACACTATACCAGACACAAACACTTTGGTTTTTGGCAGCAGTAAATATAAGATCTCCATCACAGTTGTATGTTATTCGAGTAATAGGTCGCTCATGTCCATTGAGAATAATGGGCCGCTAAAAACTTAAGTTAAGTACAAACACGTTTACCATGTTGCACCAATATTATACTGAGCGCCGGTTTTTTAAAACATATAAACAAATATAATTCTCAATTACATCATGAATTACAGACAACTAGGATATAAGTTTGTTGAAATCGAATCCTGATCATTGTCAAGAGGTTTGAATCATTAACTTTACTAAATAGTATTTTTTAACTGACATGATTCTGATTGGTTACCTTTGGATTTTCAAGTCGTCTCGAAAGCTATAAATTATGATAATTTATTTGGTGTTTTTGGGGGTTTGTTTTTCCTGGGATTAAATGGGTTTTATTGGGACTATATTATGTTTTTAGTATCTCCTTTAAATTTCGAAATATTTTGTTCATGCTTGCAGCTTTTACCAGTAATTTCATGGGCAGACCAAATTGTAATACGTACAAATTATGGAGCCGTCAGTGGGAAACAAAAATACATACATGGGAAAAATGTCTTTCAATTTTTGGGAATACCTTTTGCGAAACCCCCTATAGGTGACTTACGTTTCCGATTTCCCGAACCACCTGATCCTTGGAGTAATATATTGGATGCAACTAAACCTCCAAACACTTGTATGCAACCATTGCCCGAATCCCGTAAGTCAGATTTAATATAACAAATCATTCTAAGATTAGAACTATCTCTTTCATAATGCTTAAGACAAGTTATATGTTTTTCGAAGTTCTCCCGTTTTACAATATAATGTCACCCATAAGGTAAAATTATGTAGTAGAGTAAGAATTGTATTTTCACTAACAAACTTGCAGATTCCTAGGGCACAGTTCAATTTCTATTAAAGTTAACGAAGTCATTGAGTGTTCTAATTATTCAGTAAAATAATTTAAAGATATTGAGTAAGATGATTGCGTAACAATTTTCTACCATTTTTGTCTCTAATGTTTACCTTCCTGACTTTATCAATCTTTAAAAAACAATATTTTTTATGTCATTTTAAGTCTAATTAGCGCGGACACTTAACCAGTAATAATAATAAGTAAATTAGCCATGAAGAGACTATAATTTATGAACGAACCAATTATATTTACGATAACAGGTCATAAATTTTGGTGCAAAATTCATTCACCTATTTGGTTAAATAGAGTCTTGAAAACCATAAATTTAAGTCGTAACGCTTATCATCAACTGTAAATCCTAATCCTTATTCTTCAAACTGCTTTATAACCCTCATTCAGTCCTAGTAAGTAGGTAGACACTCCCAAGGTCATTTTAGTGTCGTTCAAAGGTCGTTCATAATTTATAGTCTCACCGTTTATAACATTATTTTTCGAAAGAATAACAATGAAAATTTTATTTATTCGAATGTTAATACACTTTCTAATTGTCTAATAACACTAGATGGTCAGATGGACCTTCATAAACCGTACTCACCAATAATTCTATGATGACGAAGTTACCCATTTACAAAGTACAGATTGGCGTACTGATCTTTGAAACATACTTTGTGTGAAAGTTGATGATACTACTCAGCTACCTAAATTGAATTCGGTTAGATAGGACTTGAACCTGAAACTAAGTGATTACATCCCGAATGCCTTAATCACTCATCTATCACTTTGTAATAATACTTGTTGATTTTAATTTCATCCTTTCTTTTTCAATGTTAATCATAGTTGGAATAACCTAAACGTTCAAAGCGGTTACCACTTATGTTTGTATAATACTACAAGACAGAAATTAATCAATTCACATTAGGTGATAACGAAAAGAAAAACAGACTTAGCGTTTACTTTCCGTTTCATAGTCTTTTGTTATTACATTTATTATAGTGAACGAAGATTTGGTTAGAGTGAACCAATTCATTGTATTATGTGAAATCATACAGTATTTGTAAAATGTAAAAAATTACACTAAAAGTACTATTTACTTATCTTCCTTAAGTCGTCCCTTACAAAGTCCATCGTTCTTTCATTCATGTTGTTGTTGTTTTTTCCCCTTCTCGTCATTTTCCTCTTCTGTTTGTCAGAATTCTACATACTACTCATATTTGTCTCTACAAGTAGTGCACACTACACTATTAGTTTGTCTCTGAGGATCTGACCATGAATAAGTGATAATAACTGATTTCTGTTTTGTGTCAATGAACTTCTAATTTTATATGATATCAAGTTAAACACTTCATTTTAATATGAGTGTTAAACCGAAATAACTATTAATTAAATACATTTTGCAAAGTAAAACATTTCTGAACTTTAATCACACTGTATTTGTAAGCGATCTAATCATATAGGATATTGCTAAGACTTCGTCAGTGATATTGAGTGCTGTTTGAGGTATGAGGGCGGTTATCATTTCCCGGTTGCCTATACCGTGGAAGGGTACTTCTAGAGGTATTTGAAAAAGAATTTGGGTGAGTTGTGGTCTTTATTACCTGGGAACAAGACTTTCAGCGCCCAAGGGACAACTGCTTACTAATATGGTGAGTCAATCCTCCCTCCTTCGAAGTGAATTAAGCTAATTTGTTTAACATTGAAATGAATAATAAACTTTATTCGTAATAACGCTATCACAATTTGACTCGCTAGTTTCAAAAAAGTAGAATATTAATTAGACTGGGTTTTTGATATTTCAGGCAAGAATGAGTATAAGTTTGCGTTATTAGTATATGTTATATGCTACTTATGTCGATAAATGCAAGTAGTATGTAAATTCAATCGAAAATGAAATGTCTGTCATCAGAAGGGTAAGATGATCAAACAAAAGAGAACGAGAACAAAGAATGTTTGGTATAGAAACAAAAGAACAATAAAGTCTGAGACGATTGATTGACACATTCGTTTGTCCCTAATTGTATTCTCGTTTTATACAATATGAGCTTTACTCTTCTCATTCCTTTTAATTCACTAAATTGTCTTCTAGATCACTTGATTCAGAATTTAATTTTATTCCAGGATCTAATTATTCCATATTGTTGCATTTTAAAGTAAATATTTGCATAATAAATATACAGTTTTTATTATATCTCAATGAGTAGAAAAACTGTATTTACTCTGAAGAGGTGACTTAAATTAAGTCACGTAAACGTCAGATATACAATTTGATCTACTTATTGGAATATAACTAAAAATATATTTATGAATGACTTCCAACCCTGTGCTCAAGTCGAACTTTGGTATGGATACTTATAATTATTTATATATTTATATCTTGTCAGCGGAAAGTCACACTTTATGTACTAATTTGAATTCACATTTACTAATGAATTCAAGTATTTGGAATAATAGTTATTATTCAGTCAGTCAGTAAGTCAGTCAGCAACAACTTAGACGTATGAGGGAGCTTATCACTTTCCGGTTTCCCACACCGTGGAAGGGTTCTTCTGGAGGTAACTGAAAAGGAAATCGGATTAGAGGTGGTTTTAGTGAACTGAGAGGGTGACCGCAATGCACAGGGGACAACTGCTTGAAGCCGGTCAAACATGACCATTTTATGAGTAATTTTTGTGTTAGTGCCGTACTTGTTGAAACCTTACCACCGGAGATGGATATCCCTGGGATAAGGTGAGGTGTTCATTTTTAGGGTCGGCCTTGTCTAACCCCACCCCTCCTTGTGGGAAGGCAGCATCGCTGTTCTGCTGGTTGTCTGAAGGGAACACCTTGGTGCTGTCACACCTCTGTACAGTTAGCAGTACGACTTGGCCTTTGGACCTTTAGTTTGTTGCTTTTAGTCTTACCGTTCTTCAACCGACCTATCTGGGATGGTAGGATCTTGATGAACAGTTGTTCCAGTCAGTATTGCTCGGTTGCTCCATCACGGTAGACAAGCCTGACCACCACGTCAAGTTATCGACAACAGTCGGGAGATTTCTATTTGGATTAAACTGTAATTAACTATTTATCTCTTGAATGAATAACTTATTTTCTCTCTATAATCTAACTCTTACTGTTCAGTTGGAATTGTGTATAGGATCTATTAACCCAGATTATTATCATAATACTCTATATTGATTACGTCACATCTTGTATCACAGAATAAATATTTTATTTTGTTCTAGTGCTTCTTAAGCGAATAAATTGTTAGGCAGAGACAAATACATCGATATATCCCTAAACATTTAAGAATGGTAGGCCACTTGGTATTGGTTGAAAATGAAAACTGAAAACCATATATTTATGATATAATATGCATTTAAAACCACAAATGGATGATAATATAGAAGTACTGAATAGAAAATAGAATAATAACTTTTGTATATTGCTGTCTTGTATATAAAATTAAAAAAGCAACAGGGAACCACAAACTATAATGACTTGAATACTCTGCTCCATATCATGTGTTATGTTTACCAATCAAAATTCTAACTTTTATCGCTCCATAACTACTACAACAATTACACGCTAGAATTACATCGTTAACCTTAAGCCAATCTAAATTTTATCATATTCGTCCTATTATAACATAAATGCTTAACAATACTTTCATACATGTCGAATAAACCAAGAGCTATATGAATCCAGTAGCTCAATGGGTAATGCAATGGCTTTTAAGGCAAAAGATTTTTGCCTTGAGTTTCGATGTTGAAGAGTCTCAATTAGAACGAAATATGAGTCCAAGATTCCTCTGCTAGATATATAAAATATACACGAAATTGGTAAAATAATTTTATGTCGAAACATTCCATTGAGAATGCATGTATGGCAGCGAAAACTCATCAGCTTGTCTTGAATGTATATATATATATCATTAGAGAATAAAACCATTTCTTGACCAATATCATGTACATGACATTAGGAGATTTTTGACCGGCACAATATGACCTTTCGATTGATCCTCTATATCATTCATCTTCTGAATTTTCTGCACAAATCAGTTTTGGGAGGAATGACAAAGGAGACATTTCAGTTAATTTTTGTACAGTGATATTCAAGGCGAAATCTTGCAAATAACAAAAAAAAATAGAATGGAAATAACTTTTTACTACTGTGCTGAACCAAATTTCTGAAACAGTATATACTCACCCTCTCTAAAGCTCATTATATTTCGATCGATCAATACAAAAAAACATCTTCATACCTTTCATGAATCAAGCAAGAATTAAATCTTATACCTGTTTAGTGATTAAAAGGGAAAAAGAAACTAGGCAAGGTGTTCTTGTGATTTTATTGGTGATTTTATTAAATTGGACGTTGGTAATTAACTGGATTGAACTCAGTATCTCTTTATTATCATTTGAATTATTTTCAGTTGTGTTGCCTTAACATTGTTATTACTACATGTTTCCAGATACATGCTGATGATGGCAACTCACAAGGTTTCTATACCTAATTTAATTGACACACATTGTTATCAGATTATTGTTGTTGTGCTGTTTAGTTTGATTCAGTTACAATATCCGTTTTCTAATTGTTGCCAAATCAGCTGTGCACAGTAAGAAGTTTAATAGTGTTGAAGAAACTTTATTGTTAAAAGCTCAATAAAAAATGTACATGGCTAATGTTTATGTACATGTCTGCACTGACATAGGGATATATATGGATTGTGATCTGAGCCAGATGAATACACTTATTCATAGTAGCCTGCCCAAAAGTCTAGGTGACTCGACATTGCGTGCAATATGTTGAGGTAAGATGGTGGTTGA